CTAGGTGAGCTGATATAAACTGCTGTATAAATAAAAGATATCAGGTGTTATAATTCCTTTTTATCTTTTGCTTCCTTCACAGCCAAAATACTTCATCCCTCAATTAATTGCCCTTTCTGTTTAGGGTTTATGGTTAAATTTTGCATCGTGTTGGAAAAGGCTTAAAGAAGGTTTTCTACCCACGTATTGTCAGTTTAACATATATGATCCTAATGAAGCAGTGTCATTCAGAATAGAGCAACCTGGTAATGATGATTGTGTTAATGCAACTCTTACAAACTTTAAATAATCAAGAAAACCCATTTGCTTCTGCATTTGAAAACATGGCAGAAGTAGAGGAGAAAAATGATGATGGCACAATTATCTGGAGCTTTGTGTTACTTTGTCCCAGTATTATAGTCTTAGGTTTGCTGTTAGACAAACTTTTAGTCCTAAATACAAACTAATTAATCCTATATAATTAATGTTTAATTTAATGTTGCTTACTCATTTGTGTGTGGTTGACTCTGAGTTTTTAACGAAGATTTATTACGCTTGACCATATAATATATCACTTTATATTTTTGACCACATGATAAGGTATTCTCAAATCTATATTATCTCTATTATAATCTGTAATATCTATTGAATCAGTTATAAGATCTTAAATTTTATATTAGATAATTTGATGCAATCATAAATTCTGTGTCATAAATGTGTTAATACCTGTAATATATAAAGTGCTTCAATGTATGTTATGTGTAAGTGGTTATTAGCTTGTTAGAAAATGCTTGAGTTATTGACAGTATAATCCATAAATAAAGGCTCAAATAAAATTGTTATTTTTGGTTTTATTACTTAAAAAATTACGTTTTTTAACAAAAAATGAAAAAAAAGCATTTTTTATGTTTTTCTATGATAATTTTGATAAGTTTTTTCAAAATGTATATAATTTCGTTTCATTTGAGTACCAGGTTGACATATACAGGTTTGAAAAACTTTTTTTTTGAAAATATTAGGGACCCATTAAATATTCGAGGGTCTTGAGGGTCCCCTTAAAATATTTTTTATTCAAAAAAACTTTAACCTAGTGTTTTGTATTAGATAAAACACATTTAGGGGGTGGGAGCAGGTTTTTCTCAAAAACATTGTTTTAAGGGCCATCCTAATATATATATATATATATATATATATATATATATATATATATATATATATATATATATATATATATATATATATATATATATATATATATATATAATATATATATATATATATATTCAAATAAAATAATACTTATATAAATTATTTAAATAAGACACTTTTATTAATAATAATCAATTACAATAAAAAAAGGCCAGGGTCAAACATTTGATATAGTTGCTATTAATCTCAAAAAGCCTTGATTTTCATACAACCAATTCTATGTAGCATGTTCTAAAACCAAGTCATTTGCATAACACTTGCATAACATTTGCATATACACATGCATAAACAAGATATGTCATTGAATGAAAATTTTACAAATGTTATATATGTAAATGTTCTTAGTTTATAGTTTTTGACAAGTATTTTTGTGTCATCTGATGTGGTCATGTGTGTTTTTATTATGTGTTACATAAGGCTGAATGGGTTTGTATTTTGTAAGTTTTTCTATGTATGTGCTGTTAGTAGTTAAAATATGAACAAGAAACTCTGGATAACTCAATAACCCTTAACTTAAACTAATTTTAAAATTTCATTTATGCCTTTATTTATGGATTATACTGCCAATAACTCCAGCATTATCTAACAAGCTAATTTCTTGGTCCTCTTTAAGGTTTGAGTAATTTAGAATTTACTGTAAATAATATTTTATTTGTTAATTTTATGATGTTATTGTTGTGTTGTTTTGTGTTGATAGATTAGATGACATGGTTTACTTTTACGTTGGGGTCTTTAATTTAAAATAATTGTTTAGTTTTATTACTGAAACTGGCTACATATAATCATTCACTAAAAACTAAAGATTCAGTTTTCAAATGAAAATAAAGATATATCTTATAAATGGAATAAAATTATTATTGAATACAATTAATACAAATCAATTTTTATTAATTGTATTCAATAATAATTTTATTCCATTTTTAGGTTGAATTCCTTTTCCTATGACTGATTTTGAATGATCCTACATAGCTGAAATTTAAGAAATGCTTTGAATGTTGATTTTATTCAAAAAGCAAAAAAAAAAAGGAAGCTTGATAATCTTCATACCATTTACTAAAAGATATATAATAATGAAAGAATGTTTCGGATTGAATTGTTTTTATAAGTGTTTTAAATTTTTTTATGTTATTATAAGTAACTTTTTTAAGTTAAGTACAAATTTTTTTTTTTGTAGTTTTTTTTTTTTTAATTTTTTTTTTTTTATTCTATCAAGAAATTTTTTTGTTTGTTTCTCAAAGAAATTTCTATATTTTTGGAATAATTTTATTTCTTTGGAATTTTTATGTTATTATAAATAACTTTTTTATATTAAGTATAAACTTTTTTTGTAGTTTTTTTTTTAACTTTTTGTTTTTTTATTCTATCAAGAAATTTTTTTTGTTTGTTTCTCAAAAAAATTTCTATATTTTTGGAATAATTTTATTTCTTTGGAATTTTTATTTTGAATGGATATAGTGGCTATTTTTGCTTTGCTTTTTATATTTTCATTATCTTTTTATATGTGAATGGAAACCATTTATACTTTTATCACCTTTTGTACAATCAAGACGGTTTACATTTGCATTAAGTATCATTTGCACAAACAACAGGTTTAAAAATTTATTTGCTTAACTCCGCAGTAAAAACAGCTTAATTGTATGAATTTGTTAAGAGTTTTTTTACAGAAAAGCTTTTATAAATAATATCAAACAGATAAAGCTAACTTATTTAAAATAACTAGGTCTCTTGGGCCCATTTTTCATGTCCAAATTTGCTTTTTAAGTAAATCCTTATGAGAGAGTTAAAATATTATTATCATAGCCTAAGTTTCCAAAGACACCTAAAGAAATGTTACGCAACTGTCTTATATGCTGATACTTTCATTATGTAGAAAATACTACAGTAATACTAAAATAAATAAGTAAAAGTACTATATAAGTTTTAAAGTATAGTAAATTAACCAAAATGCAAGAATTTTAGGTAGTCAGTTAAATGCGAACGGCAAGCTATTTAGTGAATCAAGACATATTTATGACCACAACAGTTATGATATTTAAAACATTTGCTTGTCAATTTTTTAAATTAAATATAATGGTATTCAAAATATTTTATTTAAATTAGACAGTTTTCTTTTAAATTAATTATAATTTATCAACCAATAGATCTACAGTTTGCAAAAAATTTGCATTATACCTACTACCAGAACTTTAAATTGATATAATTTTTGCTGTTTACACAAAAATTAAATTATAAAGACTAATTTAAGAACAAGTTTAGAAATAGTCAAGTGTGGAATAGACTTATAACGACCTGTATCGTACGGGTCATGACAGCTATTTATATATAAATAATTTGACTTCCAGTTAATACATGTGGTGTATTTTTTTCTTTTTTTAACTTTGTTATTTTTTTTAGATTAATCAGATGATGAGTTTGTTCAATATAGACATACAATTTAAAACTATTGAAAATTGTTATGTTTTTTAATTTGTTAATAAATATGTAAATAAAAATAACTTTAATTTTACAAAGCTATTAAGTACTTTTTTGAAACCACAATTCGCAATGATTTGTATTTTATCTATATGAACAAAAGTCTATGCAAATATCGAACACAGGGTGTGTGCCAGATCAGGGAATTCAGAAATCTGCAAAAAAAATCAGGTAATAATCAAAGAAATTAGATTAAATTTTGGAAAAATCAGGGAAAACATCTTTTCATCAAACCTACATAGTTTAAGTAAGTTCTAAATTGTACACCTAATGTAAAATTTTATTTAGCAAATACTTTTACAATTATTTATCTTAACATTTGAAATGCGGGTTGTATAATTGTTTACATTTTTGCTATTAAAGAGGTTTTTTCCGAAAAAATCTAAGTACGGTTTTTCTGAAGTTGAGTTTTAGTAACTTTAAATTATATCAAGGAAAAACAGGTAGTAGATCAAGGAAATCCACCTTATAATATTGGCAGACACCCTGTAACATGTAAACTTCAAGTTATGTAAATTATTATACCAAATTTTACAGATTTATATTTACTTGAAAATCTTATAACGGCAATATCTCCTTAATTTTGATTTATAGCATTTATGGTTGAAGTGCTTCGTGTGGGTTCAAATTCTTTCGTTTATGCACTTTTTTTTTTAAATCTTTTCCAATTTTCTAGAATACAAAGTTAAACATTTTTAAAGCCTATAGTTACTATATGCATAACATCAGGGTGTAAACAAGCCCTGTGGGGCCCCTTTAAACGTGGTATTCCCAAATACTCAAAAAATTTAAACTCCCTATTTAAAGTTGAAAAACCCCATTTCTTCAAATAAAGTTTGCCAAATTAAGGTTTAATAATAATTCTGAAAATTATTGAAAACTAGTTTTAAAAACTAATAGAAAAATAACATAAAAAACTCTTATTTATTAATCATGTAAAACTTGAAATAAAACTGCCATTATTGGTATAACTACACGATTGCATAAATGCGAAAATGTCTCTTAGTAGACATTTTCGCATTTATGCAGTAGTATATGAGCTTTTTCAACAAAAATATTGAGAAACCGCCTACATCAGATACTTTTGAAATTTATTGTTCATCTTTTTTTGTTTGGTATTTTATACCAATTAAATTACGTGATCGCATTGACTAAAATCATTTTTTACTTATCTACTATCTTTTCTCTAGTAACTTTTTTAAAAGACCATCTCTGAAATATAAGTTAAATCCAAAAAATATTTTATGAATATAACAAACTGGTACTAGAAATTTATTTAACCAGGAAAATAGATTTCTTTACTTTAATGCCTGCTTTTATTTAATACATAAACGAAATACCTTTGTCATCAAACATAATTTGATCTGATACTTGACTGCAGTCACTGGACGGGCTTGCTGGATCACATTTATAAATACCTCCTGAGTTCAAATGATCAGAACCTTTTAAATAGCTGCTATTTGCCAAGGGAGCTCCAACAATAATCCTAAAAGCAAAGCATTTAAATGTTTATGGCATATATGTCAATAAATTTAACATACAAAATACCATTTAAAATAAAATCATGAAAGAAAGTAAAAATGTTGTTACTTTTAATTTTACGGTAAAAAAGAATGTATACTAAATATACAGATTTTATCAAAAATTTCCATTAATTGTTCTTTTTTTTTTTTTTTTAGTTAATTTCATATTTTTGTAAGAATGACATACTTTGCTTTTAAGCTTAGAATGTACAAATTTTTACACACTATTTTAAGTTACACAAAAACTGTTTTTTTTTTTTTTTTAATATTTAAATTAATAAAAAATGCAATTTTTGTAAAAGTTAAAGCAAAGTTTTTGGTAACCGATCGATATTTCACTACAGTCTAAAATTTTGGATTATACTTGTGAATATGGTTTGTATTTATGGTCCAAAACTTTAGAATGTACTTCAAAATATTGTTTGTAATTAAAATATATATAAGAAAAAACTAAAATCATATTTAATGGTTAATAACAAACTATTTCATCAGAAAACCCTAGAATCTTTTAACTATATAATAATTTGTTGCAATCTGCAAGTGTTTTCCTTACTTATTTATAATTTTGACAAAACACAGCTGTGTGTAAATCTATGTATTTATTTAAATAGCATTTATTCAAACTAAGGAATTTAGTCAACACTGCTGAATGTTTAAAATTTTTTTTATCAATTTAATGTGCCTGTATTGAATGATTAAAAAAAATATTAACGCATCCCTCTGAGACTTGCATTTAAGGTAGCCTTTCTTGCCACATCACAAGATTAAATCAATCATCCATTTAGATATGTAACTAAAACATTATGGTATATCAAGAGCTAGAGTATTATACTGAAATAAAGGAAGGAATGCTTTTAAAATTTGATGATCATCTGAATATAGAATTAAAAGTTTTTGATCCTAGAAAGTACCTTGCAGTGCTCTATTTTTTATATTTTGGCTCATAAAATGAGTTACAAATTTAACTTTTTGGTTATGGTTAACTAAAAATGATTTAAACCACCTGTGAGCTGAGTCAATTATACCTATTTCACTAATTAATAACCCCAGTAGTAATTGTATCAAGTATGGTGGCGGTAACGTGATGGTATGGGGTTCAATGGCTTGGAAGGGTGTCAAAAAACTCCAATTTATTGATACTATAATGGATCAGGTGCAATACAGAAACATTTTAAAGCAAAATTTGAAGTCATCTGCTCGAAACTTTGGCTAAGATCTGATTTTACATTTCAGCAAGATAAAGATCCCAAGCATAGTGCCAATAAAACCAAGGAGTGGTTTGCTGAAAATAATGTTGAGGTCTTGGAATGGCCGGCACAATCACCGGACCTTAATCCCATTAAACATTTGTGGGAAGTTTTAGACCCAAAAGTTGGAGATCGGTCATTTTCCAAAAAAGATAACTTCAAAGTGGCAATTAAAGAAGCCTGGGAAAAGATTCAACCAGAAAAAATAAAATCTTTAGTCGAATCAATGCCTAGACGTCTAGAAGCTGTAATCCAAGCAAAGAGAGGCGCTACAAAGTATTAAAATAATTGTTTTGTTATTTAATAATTTATTATGGAACAAAAAATGTTTGGTCGAATATTTTTTTGAAAATAAAAAAGCGACCTAAGTTCCTTTATTATAAGACTGAAAACTTTGTGATTCATATTTTACACTAAAATAAATAAAATCTATTAAAAAACATCTTTTATTTTTATTAATCTTGAGTTTACCAAAAAAGTCAAAATTTACAAAAATACAGCACTTTTTTTTGGAAAAATATTTTAAAAAATGTTTGGTCGGATAATTTGAGACACTGTAGTTTCAGTCAATCCTTATTTATTGAAATGCTAAACATTTTTGACAAAACTTTCATCTTCAGATAACAACTCTCAGTGTCTGCTTAAAATCTGCCAGCTTAATATACTCCTTTCTTGTAACATTCTTAAAATTAAATGATGAAAGGCTTCGTTTACCCAGGTTCCTTTTGTTTCCAGTGTTGAATCTGGTTAAACTTAATATAAGAGCTTGTATATATTCTGTAAATTCACAGGTGTTCAAAACAGTTATGATTGCATTCTGATTTTCTCAAGTCCCTGAATTAATTACTGGAATTCCCAGCAGATGAGTTTTTTTGTTAAATTACATTGTAATTCCTAATCATTCTTTTCCCAACTTTTTACTTTCAGTATATTTACAACACACTTTCCTATCAAAATGAAGTTAAACTAAAACATTTTTATGGAAATTGCGGAAGTATTTTAAATGTTCCTTGATCCACACTGCTTCATACCAAATGAACATATCAGTTGCTGTACATGCTATAAGTAAAACATCAAATAAATCTTCTTTAGTAAATACCAGTTTTAAGTTGAAATGGGAGAAACTTTTTTTTTATGTCTAAAAGTAGAAATATTTTGATTTCTTTTCTTTATTAAGTTGAAACCTTTATAAGTTTTTATATGAAAAATATAAATCCTTTATAAGGATTTATATTTTTCATTGAAACATTATTTAAATGATTATGTTGTGGTACTACATGTTTCACAACATTTTAAAATTTTTCACTTAACTTTGGGATATAAAATAGCTTTTTTTAACTTTTATACTTCTTTTGAAAGCTTAGTATCAACTTTAAATCTATGGATGTTAAAAAGAAATTTTACTAATGCTTGTAAATTTTTTTATTAGGAGAGGTTAGCAATGGTAACAGATTTGAGTTAGTTATGGTAACAGCCACTTAATATAAAAGATTGTTTGTTAAACATCTATTGAAAAATGGGTAAACTTTGATTTAAGCATTTCCAGCTTTCTTAAATAGTGGTTGTATTGCTACTTAGAATATATAATATTATGCTGAATATTATAATGGATTTTATACTTGGCAAACAGCTGTAGCTAACTTTTACTGTTCTCCTGTTTAAAAAATATGAAGCTTGTTATTATTTGGAAAAGATTTTTTGATTAGACTTAAAAAACATTTTCCTTCATTGGCACTAAGGTTTTTACTATAGGTAAAGTTGACACATATAAAATTATATCCTTGGTTTTTTAGCAATATAGCTTAAACTCAATTATTTTGTAGAACTGTCAAACTTGAAAATGAAGAAATATTTATTTAGATATCCTACCAGCTTGCAAACCTCCACCAATAAATGGCAACTTTAATTAAATTTTATTTTGAATTTTATTGAAGCATTACAAGAAATCTTTTTCTATATTATGAACATAGTTTTGATAACATTTTATGCAAGCTGTTAACTATTTTTCTTAATTACCTATTTGTTAAATTTTTAATAGCTTTATAGTTTTTTACACTATTGACTGTTATCATAAATGGTAATTTTAATCATATTTTAATTGTTGTAAATAAATATATTAAGTTTAATATTATCTTAACCTGGATGAA